TCTTTTTTGTACATCTCCAACTTCCCTCATTTCAGTTCTATATGATTCACTTCAGCTGATTATAGTTTCTCTGAAAAATCCAATCTCACATTTAATTTCACTCCAGACTGTCATTTTGGTCACTTTTGGTCTTCTAACTGTATCAGGTATAATTTGTTTTCTCTTTCTACATAGTAAAAATAAGAAAAAAAGAAAGTTTCAGAAATTACAGCACCATGTATTTTGCAGTTCATAACTGTACATAGCCCTATAACTAACTAAGGCCTAGATTTAATATACCAACCCACTGCAACTACATCAAATACTGATAACCAATGTTAAAATACAGGTAGTAAAATGATGAACTAAAGTTAATCAAGACTGAATAATGGCTAATAAACATGTATTGAATGCACAGTGTGACCCACACAAAGATAAACTACATCATTTATAAGGTAAAGGAATTAAAAAAGAGGTTTGTGCAGTAGAAATGTAGCAATTCTTTTTGATTGAAATTACAGATTTTTGTTTTGTTTTTGCAGTGTACCAGCTGTTTTTATAATATATATAAAAGCAGTGAAGACATCAAATTTGCGTGTACAGTATGTCTTACATTCAGATATACAATAACATCTTTCACTGAGATTTTATGTATATACTGACTGGGGTACTTATACTATGCTTTACATGTAAGATGCAAATAAAGTCTTCCTTCTGATTAAATAACACTGCAAATAATGATTCCCATTGGAATTCTGTATTGCCAAGGACATGGCTTCATCTGATTCCAGTAAAGTGGTCTTAATGGTTTAACGGATAATCTAATGAGTCTGGAGTGCAGATGAAATGAGATGAAGTGGGCTAATCTGCAGTGAATATGGAGCGGTGCTGATGTTCAGCGGGTCTGCGCTCAGGTGGCCGGCAGGTACGGAGTGTATCTAGGAGTCCCTACTGAGAACACAAAAATAAACACAAATGCTTCTGTTCCTTGTGGCCACTGCACCATGTCTGATAGACATGGTTAAAGGCCAGTCAATAGATCCATTTTGTCCTTGTTTGTGGGTGGGTGAAGTGTGTGAAAATGAGTATACAATTAGGACATAGATGGTATACAAAAGAGGGAAATTGAGAAAATGGAAGCGCGCTAGAAAATAAAGCTCAGAAACATGATAGCGACAGAGGTGACTCAGTGTTTCCTGTAGCAGGAAGATAAACACTTTGCCAGGCACTTGACGAAAGCGGCCCACTCCCGCTCGAATCCGATCAGAACAAGAGACAAAAGCTCAGATACATATGCAAACAAACACACACACTGCACAATAAAACACACTGCCAAGATATATGTTTTTTCATAGGCTAAGCATAGGCTGGATAAAAAAATGTATTTTATATGAGTCACAGCTTTTATAAAAACCATAATTTCTCCATTGTTACACTTACCGTCACATTGATGGCAAAGTACAATCGACAGTAAGATGTCTTTCTGGCCACAGCACTTTCAGATATAGAGCTCTATTTCTAGGAATGCATAAAATACTGGTGGTTATATTGGTATTGAACAATAAATCTGACTCTTCAATGTTATCAGTATCAGTCTGTTAAGTAAAATGTGCCAATGTATTTAATGTAGTATGAATTTAATATATTAATTACAATAATAAAATACTTGATTTTAATAAAATGTTTAATCAGAGTTTGTAATATTTTCTTATATTTATAATTTAAATAAACTACTATTACTGCTACTAATAATAAAAAGTAATATATTTACATATGTTGTTTTCTAAATATATTTAAAAACAGTTTAGCCAATCAATTAACTATATTGTAACTATACTATATTAATAATAATTCCTATATTATATACTATAGTGACTATATACAGGCACTTAGTTTCTACATTCATTATATTTTCCATGTAAATAAACCAAGTTAATAATAATAATAGTTAAGTTATACATTCTTTCTCTATACATATATATACAGTATATACACACACACACACATATATATATATATATATACACATGTATATATATATACATATATATGTGTATATATATATATGTGTGTGTGTGTGTGTGTGTATATATATATAGGGAATGTATAGAGAGAGAATGTATAACTTAAATTATTATTATTATTAACTTGGTTTATTTAAATGGAAAATGTAATGAAGAATGTAGAAACTAAATGCCTTTATGCAGTTTCTGTATTGGCTAAAATGTCCATATTGGTGCAAAAGTAGCATGATATTACCATGTTTTTTGCATATGTAACTTTATTGGCATATATACATTCCATGATATATATCGATATGGTGTTCGTTTAGTACCATGGATTGTTTCAAAGCATCATAATCATCAAAAACCTTCACTAGACCTTGGTGCCACCATAATACTTTTATATGGGTGGAGTCATCCTACAAGCATGATAAACCTCAACATCTGAAGGTAAAACATGATGAACAACAAAGAAAAAAAACCCCTAAAAGAACTAAATGAAAATTAGATTTGTGCTAATTTACTCAAGAAGGCTTGTCTACTGAGGAACAGGTGCACATTGTCACGGTTCTGTTCTGTTCATGGATTTTGAGTTTGTTTTCATTCACCCCACGTGTTCCTTTGACCTACTTTCTGTTTCCCCCTTGATTATGTTAGTTAGGTTCACCTGTGTCTAGTTAATTAAGTCATTTAGTCCCTCTCTTGTCTGTGTATTTAAGTTCCCACCTCAGTTTCTTTGGTTGTCTGTTATTGTTGAATGTTATCCTGTGTGTTAGTACCTCTTCATCTTGTGGCTTACCATTAAAATGATTTGTTTATATGATCTTCGTTATCGTCTCCATCATCTTCCTAGCAGCAGCGTGACACACATATGGTAAATATCATGAGATTCTTGATGAACTTTTGTTAGTCCTCATGAGCTCAGCATCTATGCACTCACTGGCAGAGAGACATAGAAATCCGAGCATCTCTCAGCTCTTTCTGTCGGTTCTTGTGCACTTCCTATGAGACAGGAAATGAATGCCTATACAGCCACAGAAATGTGTGTGGAGGAGAGACAACCTCATCACATCTGGAAGTGATCGCCACACCGGCAACTAAATCACACTGGGTTTTCATACACTGCCATGCAAAATAAAGCAATAAATCAATCACCAACAGCAAACAGCATTGGCTTAACTATCAGGTAACACTCGCTGTATGATCAGTCAGACAGCATCACCTAGTGGACACTGATAAATAGGAATACTTAACCTGAAGAAATGATATGCGTTATTTAATACACAAGTTATCAAATAAAATGCACTAACATGTATAAACTGATACAGAGTGGCATTAAAGTATGACCAGGCCTGCCTGCAAACTCAGCAAAAACTTAACTGATAACTGCAGAACTTTATTTTTTTATTTTAATACTACTACTAAAAATAACAACAAATATAGTAAAAGAGTAAAAATGACAATAATTCCTATTAATTAATTTGAATGAATTCATACTAATATTTTATTCAATATATTTATATTTTACTTTTATTTTTTTAAATATATTACAATAATAATAAATAGTAAAAATAATTATTACTCTTAATTATATTTCTAATAATTATTATTCCATAAAACAACAATAAATAATTATATATATATATATATACACACACACGGTCAAAAGTTTGGGATCAGAATGATTTTTAATGTTTTTTTTTTACAGGCGTTTCTTATGCCCATCAAGGCTGCATTTATTTGATCATAAATACAGGAAAAAATTTAATATTGTGAAATATTATTATGATGTAAAATAACGTTTTTCTATTTTAATATACATTAAAATCTAATTTATTCCTGTGATGCAAAGCTGAATTTTCAGCATCATTACTCCAGTCTTCAGTGTCACATGATCCTTCAGAAATCATTCTAATATGCTGATTTATTATCAGTGCTGGAAACTGTTGTGCTGCTTAATATTTTTTTGGAACCTGTGATACTTTTTTTCAGGATTCTTTGATGAATAAAAAGTTTTAAAAAGAACAGCATTTATTCAAAATATAAATCTTTTCTAACAATATACACTACCGTTCAAAGGTTTGGGGTCAGTAAATTTTTATTCCTTCTTTTTTTGAAAGAAATTAAAACTTTTATTCAGCAAGGATGTGTTAAATGCAATAGTGATTATAAGTGATAGCAAAGATTTATATTGTTAGAAAAGATTTATATTTTGAATAAATGCTGTTCTTTTGAACTTTTTATTCATCAAAGAATCCTGAAAAAAGTATCAATTTCCAAAAAAATATTTGGCAGCACAACTGTTGCCAACATCGATAATTTCAGCTTTGTAAAGTTATTGTGAATTTATGCCTGATTTACAGGGAATTCCCAGGCAAACACTTGAAAGTAAACATTACAAGTCAAGTACAAATCATTATTATCCCATAAATGTTGGACTAATAATAATAATAATAATAATACATTTGTACAAATTTAAAGGAACACATGCTGACTGGGGGAAAAAAAAGTTAATTCTTCAATGTGTAATCTATTTACAAATGTTATTTTGATTTTTTTAAAAGACAGAAACAAACAAAAAAAAAATCACATTTTATTCATTGCATCTTTACTTAGAAACATTTTATAAATAAATAAATAAAGGAGATTGATTAACAAGAGAAGACAACTAAAGGGGTAAACTAGTTTGACAGAGGCCTGTGCTGATAATCTTACACAGAGTCAGCATCATCAGTGCCAGATTCACAGGAACATGGCTGCTTTCCTGGACACAGATAATGTTTAGTCTAAGACTATAAAAGATTTCATTATGAATAATTACTACTGACAGCCAAAGTTCGTCCAAGACTCTGCCTATTCCGCTTTAGGGAAATTGGCTCCATGTGTTTTCAGTTGACTGCTGATCCATCCTGGATTTCATTGTTGAGTGATTACAAAAGACAAAATATATACTGGCATTCGTACAGCAGCAGTTAATCAAAGTCTGACAGTAAATTGTAAACATTTAGTTTTATTTTGCGCGTAACTAAAACATATCCTGTACAAAACATTCAAAGAGCTCATTTCTGTTGGAGAACCTCTCATCCCAGCATAATGGGAAATAAAAAAAGTCAAGAGTTGAAATTCAGAATAAGTATTATCTTCCTCTGCAGAAGAATAATTCTGAACACGCTTTGCTTTCCCGCTGTAATTTTGAAAGGATGAAGCTCACTTATGCAAAGTGGCCGGCAGCTCCTTTCTAAGTGACGAAAGACGAAACATTGTGCATTCAGGGTCAGCACTTTTTTCAACGGATTATCTCTGATTATCACTAACCAGTGACATGTCAGTGCACAAAACACACACACACACACACACACACTCATATTTTTGTCTTCCTCTCACACATAGACTTCTTTCTTTCTCTCTCACTTGCATATTTTTGCATCTCTCACTCATAGTGCGTTTCAACCGAGGGCTGATTTGATGAAGGATGTTGGACTGAGATGTCCATAGTGAGATCTAATTGGGTCGCTTGTCTTCTGCAGATGTCCATGATGATCTGTGGTTGGCCGTGCTCAGGGCTGCATTTATTCCGGCTGGCAGCCATAGGAGTCGCTCTGCTCACAGCCACAGCTCCTCACCTGCTGACCGGCATCTGAACCTGCCTTCTGTGGGAAGACAAAGAGAGATTACTGTAAATCCAAGCAAATTACAAAACAGAAGATCATTGCCCTGTGCGGATTTAAAAAACTCAGTTTCTTGTTTCTGTTGTACTGATGCACTTTACACAACTAATCACACACTAAGTGCAGCTTTTTCTCCTTTGTGACTAAAACTATGATCCAGAAATGCTAAGCTGATTCTGGGTAACGAGGAGAAACAACATCAAAGATGAGTTTGTGGTTATTTTTGCACAGATTTTCAAAGATTCGGAAAATAAATGACATTGTTAATTTATCTGTCACTAATTATGGCAGGTTTGAAACACACATATCCTCATATTAAATAAATAAATAAAACTACTATATATATATATATATATATATATTACAATGGAAATTAATACTTTTAATCAGCAAGGATGCATTAAATTGGTCAAAAGTGACAGTAAAGACATTTATAATGTTACAAAAGATTTCCATTTCAAATAAATGCTGCTCTTTTAAACTTTCTATTCATCAAAGAAAGCCTGAAAAAAAAAAAACTAAACAAAAAAAAAAAACAGTGTCTTGGTTTCACTGTTTTCAACATCGATAATAATAAACATTTTCTGTGCACCAAATCAGCATATTAGATTTCTGAAGGATCACGTGACACTGTAGACTGGAGTAATGGCTGCTGAAAATTCAGCTTTGCCAACACAGGAAAAAATTATATTTTAAGATATATTCAAATGAAAAATAGTTAAGTTGTAATAATATTTCACAATATTACTGTTTTTACTGTATTTCTGATCAAATAAATGTAGCCTTGGTGAGCATAAGAGGCTTATTTCAAAAACATTACAAAAAAACTTACCGACCACAAACTTTAGAACAGTACTCTAAAATAAATAAATGAATAGTTCCTTAATATTATTTAAACATTTAAAAACAAATGATCAATGGAAACGTGATTTATCACTGTTAATATCACTGTTTTGTGAATAGCCTCTCTTGTTAGGCAAGATATATGTGTCGGTCTCTTGAATTAGGCCGTGGATTCAGCGGTCATTTTGTACGCACTCCACTCCAAACTTCATTTCAGTATTTTATTACGTTTATTAGACGCCATTGTTTTGTTTCAAAAGCATTTCTAAATTCAGTTCTTATTTCCAACAACAACAAAAAAGAGCCAAAATAACGAAGTGCTCAAAAACTGTGAGCTACCACCATGCCCCATATCCAAACACGATCTATCCCAACTTCCTATTCCCCGCTCCTATATGGTGATGCATACAACACTAAAACCCGACAGGTGGACAGCACTTAAAGGTTGGGTAAGTGATTTTTCAAAAACGCTTTAGAAAACTGATTCGGGCCGCCTAGCAAAACAAACTTGCAGCCAATCAGCAGTAAGGGGCGTGTCTACTCATGATGTGGAGGAGAGAGCGTTCAGTGCACATGACGGACATTAGCGAGTCGAGCGACAGAAAGATAGAGATGGCGGATAAAAAAGCGCCACTCGCGCCCGGTGTAGACACGGTGTAACATTGGTTTTGCTTTGTTTCACAGAACGAATCGTTGCCTGGGTTGCGTATGTATGTGTGGGGCAGAGCTATCAAAATAGGGGCGAGACCCTTTTGGGGTAGGGGCGTGTTTGTTTTGGTGATTTCAAATGTCAACATTGGCTACCAGAAATCCCTTACCCCACCTTTAAACAAAAAATTTATAAATACAACTATAAAAGTACACATAATACAATTAATAATAATAATAATAAACAAATGTAAATCATCACAAATAAATGGCTGCAACAATATATTTGAAACATCAACTGCAATAAAATAAAACCGAAAGTTCAATGAGCTTCAGTCTTGTGTGCAGACTAACAAAGACAATATCAATACCGACATCAGCTTTTCCAGCATGAAACATATAAAAAAAAAACAGTAGGATGCTGAATAAGTTCTATTAACACTGACCCTTCAATATTTTAAGACAGGAATATTTCACACATGCTGCTGCTACTCACTGATGAGCCATACAGGCCTTGAGAAACTAATAACACCAAACATCACTCCCGCAAGTACACATGTTCACAGTTGATAGTGTGTTTTAGTGCAAGAACATATGCCCAGATTCTCTGTTAGCACTTCATCACTAGGTGGCACTGTGATATAATTTTCATTTCAGCATAAATCAATGTCAGGGATTATTTCTTAAACTCAGTGGTTCTCAAACATACAGCATGTAGATGCAACTATGCAAATAAAGAGTATATTTATTTATCATATTTTATTTTTAATACTAGTTAACTCTGCATCTGAAAAACCACATTTCATCAGCATTAGAGAAAGTGAATTTGAATGTACGTGCTGGTGAGTCTGAATACATTGCACTTTTTTTCCCCAATAACCTCAACATACACACACCTGCATGGGCTTGCGTGAAGGTCTTTTCGGTTGGTTGTCTGGGTGATTAGGAGTCCAGGCTCCCAGGCTCTGATTGGAATAGAAGTCCATAGGATACACCTCCTGCCATTCCACCTGCTGCAGAGCTACTGCTGCCTGAAAGAGAGAGGGATTTTTAATTAAAGACATCACACTGCAGCATTAAACACAGAAACAGCGAGAATCTTGAGAAAACAACATGACAGGGCTGTCAACAGCTGACGGGTCGATACACATATCAGCTATGAGTGCAATCGGATATCAAGGGAGCTCTAGTCAAACACAGCGCTTCTCGTCTAAGAGGGCAAGTCACCTGACTCTCACACTGCATACGATCTCCCGGATGGCTCTATGTATTACAGATGCGCAAAGATCTTCCCCACTGGCGAAATGCACCGAGTGGAGCCTCTGAGTCGAGGTGAGATCCATGCTGTTCCATGCACAGACAAATGCAGACGAATATATTAGCGGGCCTCCAGAGGCATGCAGGAATTCCTCGTGCATGTGGCTACATTACATAAATTCCGGCAGGATCTCACCCGTCAGACTGAGCTGCTTGTACGAATAATCAATGTGCCATGTTCGTCTCCGCCCGTGGGCACATATACCCACTTCACAAGCGAGACGCACTGTAACATACGGCTCTAATACCACGGGAGAAATGACTCCGGTGAAGGACTGTCTCTCTCTCTGCTGACAATACTACAATACCTCACAAACAAATGCTTCTTCATAAATCTCTCTTAAATACCCTTAAAAGCCTAATACTACAGTCACTCGCTTTTATTGACTGGAAAAGCGACAGTCGGGAAGTTCTTGTCTAAATGTTTTTTCTGTGAAAATTGAGGCTTCTGAAATATAGCAGGCTATCCATTTAATAATATAGACTCTTTATTAACAGTACATGGACATTTTATAAAATAAAAAACATTCTAAAGAGAGATTTCAGAACAAAACTGTCAGAGTCACGACCAAAGGCTGGACAGATTTTCTCACACTTTATTATTAAAGGGATAGTTCACCCAAAAATGAAAATTATCCCATGATTTACTCACTCTCAAGTCATCCTAGGTGTATATGACGAATACAATCAGAGTTATAATTAAAAATGCTATAAACAAAACTTGGTTCTCACAAGACTAGCATATTCTCACTGGATATTTTTCTTACACAAAAGCATCACTTCGCTTCAGAAGGTCTTTATTAACCCCCCAGAGCCGCGTGGAGCACTTTTTATGATGGATGGAAACACTTTTTTTGGGCTTCAAAATTTCAACATTTTATTCACTGGCATTATAAAGCTTGGAAGAGCCAGGATATTTTTTAATTTTAGAATAATAGTTCTAAAAATAGTACAAAATAAAATAAAATAACACAAATGGAAGTAATTAAGCAGAGACCAAAAAGTAAATACATTTATTTATTTCACCATTTATTTTGTATAGAAAACTAAATAAATGTTAATAATTTTAAAATAACACAAATGGAAGTAATTAAGTAGAGACCAAAAAGTAAATACATTTATTTATTTCACTATTTATTTTGCATAGAAAACTAAATAAATGTTAATAATTTTAACCATAATTTTATTAAAAAACATATATAATATGTAGAAATATTAGTAGAAATATAATTAATAATAAAATAACAAAATATTAATAAAATAAGCATTTATATATGTTATATACATTTACAGGTATGAATATATTCACATATATTATAAACAATATAACAATAACAATACTAATTTAATAGTTAAGGTCATTGCACTTGGAAATAACACAAATGGAAATAAAGGAATAATGTAGGGACCAAAAAGTCAAGAACAAATTAAAAAAATAATAATTTTGGCTATAACTTTAAAAATATTGAATATTATTAAATGACATTATATGAATACAAATTACAAAAATAATAAAATAATTATAAAATAAATACAAACATGTCACTGTAAATGATATATAAACATTAATATTTAATAATTTCAATAATATTAAATACATATATGAATTTCTGTGTGAATAGTCAATTAGCAACGTAGAAAATTATGAAATAATGTATTTTTATGAGATCAAAAGATCTTGGATAAGCATTTTTATTTGCTTTGGATGTGCTGCCAACACCAGTCTTTCCTTCTCTCTTCTTCCATCCATCCTGTTCTTATTAACCCTGGCACATCCATCTCTTTCACTGGCTTTTCATCAGAGCTGTGCATAAGCTACCTGCTAATCCCTGCACTGACATGAGAGGCAAGTGTGTCACATTGACTATAAATATATCATGAGGCACACTGAAAAAAACTGCCTTCTCTCTCTTTCTTCATACTTCACTTTCACAATCCATTACGTCCTCTCATTTCTTCACTCCACAGAAAGAGCAAACACAAGCAGAGGTGCACTAAAGTGGCAGTTTCTGAGAAGACTTTTACTATGAACTCCATGTTTAAGCAAACTGGCTGGGCAGGAACGCTGTTACTCCTTTTATTATGGGCTGGGCCTTCACAAAACATCAGCGTGTTATTGCTGCATTCTAATGTATTCTCATAATACCATATTTGCTCTACGGTTCTATGACACCAAATGCGCTGAGCTCCGGCGTGGGCCAAGCGGCAATGAAAATGGATTATGGTGACGCGTAGAATATGAGAGCCACATATTATTATGCAGTGCTTCAATATGGCTCTACTGAGCATTATCATTATTCACTGAGAGATATGATGCCATACAAAAACTCAACATAAATGAGCTTCTCGTGGTACAGTGGTACATTGTCACCATAAACCGATATATCGGGCAGGATGATTAATAGGCTGATATTCAGTTATTTTGAGAGGCGTCGACAGATAACCCATGCCTGTTTGCCGATTAACAGAAGTGGAAGATTCAAAACACTGTGAGTCAACAGCATTGTCATGGGATAGTGCACACAGTGAATTTTGAGTAAGCACTGCATTAAATAAGTTTCTTTCTCAAAATTACACATTGTACACATTCAAAAATTTGTGGCTGGACAGACTTTTCAATGTTTTTGAAAGAAGTGTTTTAAGCTCACCAAGGCTGCATTTATTTGATTACATTTATTTGAGTAATATTGTGAAACATTTTTATGATTTCAAATAACTGTGTTCTATTTGAATATATTTTAAAATGTAATTTATACCTGTGATGGTAAAGCCAATTTTTACTCCAGTCTTCATTGTCACATTATCCCAATTTGCCGATTTGGTGATCAAAAAACATTTCTTATTATTATCAGTTGAAAAAATTTTTGCTTAATAGAACAGCATTTATTTGAACGTGAAATCTCTTTTACCGTTATAAAGGTCTTTACTGACACTTTTGACCAATTTAATTTGTCTTTGCTGAATAAAAGTATTAATTAATTTATTAAAAAAAAAATCTTACTGAACACAAACCTTTAAACAGTAAATTATAATATAATACATGAATTATAAAACAAATAAAAAATATCTAATACTGAATAGCAATGTTATAAATTATTACTGTGTAGCGTCTGGACCAATCAAACACACAATATATATTTTGTTAGCTATATTTAACAAATACTCTGTAACACCCCTCAGTTAACAAGCCATATGAGGACCTATGGACCCTTCCCCCGAAATGCGTAACACCTCAGGAGGGCAGAACAGGCCTCTGGTTCCATGGCAACCAACGCTGATATCACTGGGTTTATTGCCTAGAGGTGACAGACAGTTGACCCTGAGAGGTCAAGTAAATATCTACAGCGGATCTAAATATTTATAATTAATTATAACTAGTTATGATTAATTATTCATATTTCCCCATGAGCTGATTCGCTACAACTGTTTGAAATAAAATTTGCCATTTATACATTTATTATATAATATAAACAGAAATATATATTTATATTTTAATATATTTAAATATATTAGCCCCTCTCTCTTTTTTTTTTTTTTTTTTTTTT